ATAAGGGGTGGGCACCCGGGCACCCAGGCTGAGGAGCCAGAGATGCACAGGAGTCCTGCACCCACCTGAGCGCCAGACTTCAGCGGAGACGTCACAGCCGCTCCCCACCCCCACACTCACTAAGGATGCCCTTGTTTGCACGCCTCTTACCATCAACAGGGATGTTGGCAAAGGGAAACACTCCCTAGTGGGCCATCTGAGACCAAGAAAATGAAAACGCTAACCACACTGAGAGGTACTGCCGCCACTAATGGAGCCCCGCTAGGTGCCAGGCGCGGGGCCAGGTGTTTACTGTGTCGCCCCCAAGCCTCACAACAAGCTCTTGCAGCAATACCACAGGGAGTCACTCGCGGAAGGCTGCCCGTGGGCACAGGTGAGGGAGGCAGGATTCAAACCCACAGCTGCAGTGTCTGGAACCCAGCAAGGGCCCAAGACTGGCTTGTTCCTTTCCCCCACCTCCTTGTCATGATGTGCGTCACGTCTGTGTCCTTTCTATGTAAAGGCCAGCCTCTGCGCTGACTCCTAGTGCTCTCTTTCCACCTTTCTTTCAGGACAGAAAGTTGCATCAGAAATGGGCCACATGCAGGGTGGGGGTTACCGTCCCTGCTGCACAGATGGGAGGGCAGAGGTCCAGAGAGAAGCAAGAAGCTGTCCAGGGGCACAGAGCAATGGGGAGTCCTAGGAGGAGAACTTAGGGCCTGGCCACTGCCTCCACCACCCTCCTCCCCTCCTGCCCTGCTTGGAATGCTCTGGACTGTGCCGGAGGGAAGGAGGACAGCCCCCGCAGGGTGCTGGGAGATGCTGCCGGGGCCTCGGGAGGATCATTAGCCAAACTCAGGGCTTGTCCCTGAGCCCTCTGCGGCTCAAGAAGCAGCTAATGAGGCCCCAGGGCCTGCAGACGCAGTCAGGGGTCCTCAAGGGCCTTAATTTGCACCCCTGCTTCACAGCGCTTGGACCCGGCACGGGGCGGGCCCCAGCCCAGCCTTCTCGCCTCTCAAACCCGCTGCTGCTAGCTGGGACGCTGAGCAGGCGGCAGGTGTACTCACGAGTGCCCACACCCCAGAAAACCTCCCACATCACATCTGGCCATGCCACAAGTCAAGGAAGCCACCAAAACCTCCCAGGCCCAGGTCAAAGCATTCAGGAAACAACACGAAGAGGTTCCCACTGGCGAAAGATGGGCCAATCTGAGCATCGATAAGGATAATAGCTGCAATGGATCGAAACACATTAAGCACGTTCAAATTCACAGACCAGAATGATATTTACAAAAGCAAACAGTCACTATTGGAGGAGGGCAGGGAATCAACTCAGTTTTTTGAAACTGGGAAATTAAAGAATCAAGCATTTGTCCTGCTTTTGTAAACTGTCCCTGGGGTAATCAAATTGCAGGTGAAGGGAAGTCTTTATCTGGAAAAGAATTCTAGCTAAGTAAGACAGGAAGAAGTGATTAACATTACACCACCACCATTTTGTAACCACTGAGGAATTAATGGATTGAGGTGATGATCACAGATGGCTTTTAACGTCAGAAAAGAGACACCCCGCCATTATGTGCCTCCTGGACAGTCACGTCAAAAAAAATTTGTACCTAAACCATCCCAACCCTCTAGAGCTAAGTCCTATTTTACAGCAAATGCAAGAGACAAAGAACATGTTGAACCCCACCAGGAGGATTCAGGCAACAAAATCCAGACAGTGGGGAATCCCACAGGACAAATGACCCAGTTTCCTCAATAAACAAGTTGCAAACAAAATAAAATAAAAAGATGAAAGAGCAATCAAACAATTGCTACAATTATGGACTTTTGTTTGGGTCTCATTCAAACAAACAGTAAAATGTATGCATATTTACAGCACAAATGGGAAATTAGAACACTTCTTGGATATTTGAAGATACAAGAGAAACGTTAAAATGTTTCAGTTGTATATTGGTATGGGGGTTATTTTATTTATTTATTTTTCTTTTGCTGAATCCTTATCTTTCAGAGATGCATCCAGAAATATTTACAGACATACTATGCTGTCCGGGGGAGTGTAGAGGAAATAAGACTGGCCGTGAGTTGACAATTGTTGAGGCCAGGGGCTGGGGACAAGAGGGCTCATTAGGCCATGCACCCTGCCCTGGTGCTGACCGTGGCTGAAATGCCCAGCACCACGGACACTGCAGCCTGGCCCGGCAGCAGACCCTCCCAGCCCCCGCCCTTTGGGACCCATGGGAATCCACCAAGACCGCTAAACACCCGTGATGCTTCACGCCACCTCGCCCCTGCGCATGTGCCCGTGCCGGTCCCTTCCCTCACCCCTCAGAGGTCCACTGAGCAGCAGCTCCCAGGGGCCTCCCTGCCAAGCCCCCTGCCCCAGGCATGGTGGGGCAGCCCCTTCTTTTTTCCCTGCTCACTGAGGAGTTGCTGGGCAGGGGGCAAGTTGGACTCATGCCCAGACCCCAGCACCCCGCACTGGGCCTGGCCCAGCTCCAAGGCTGGCTAGAGTCGTTCTGAGAGGAAAATCCCCCAAACTGGTCACTGTACAGCCCCTGACCAGCCAGTGACCTGTACACACTGCTTAATACCACATCACCAAGCATGGTGGGTGATGACAGGGACTTACGTTTTGACTGGGCCACCTCTCTGAGCCTCAGTTTCCTCATCTACCTACTCCAGCCTCCAGGACTTTTATGAGGACTAAAGTAGATGGCCTTGGAGGTACTTCATAAACTGTAGAGGGCTGTGCACATGCAAGGGGTCATCCGTGTATTCACACAACAGTCTGAAAACCTCGGGGTTGGGAGGCAGCTGAGACGACCTGGTCAACCTCCTTCCCGAGAGGAGGAAGGAAAATCTCAGCACGAGCCTGCTCACTTACTCAGGCTGACCCGGCAGCAACGCAAGGACTATGTTGGGTTTGGAGCCCCCTTCACACCCACCCTGGGATGTGATCCACTAATGGCCACCACAGCAGAATGGGCCCGGAAAGCCCAGGGCCCCTCTGATGGGCACGCCTCAGCACCCCTAGTCTCCCCGGCTCCTGGGCTTTCCCTGGGGGGCTCCCACCTGGACTCAAATGGCTGAGCTCAAACCCTCCTGGGGCCGTGGCAGACAGGACTCTGCCCAGCTGTGTGCCACAGGGGGGAGAGGGCGGCAATGCTCGGGACCTGCATGCGAGAGTGTGCACTCTGGAAGGCCGAGGTGGGAGGATCGCTTGAGGTCAGAAGTTCAAAACCAGCCTGATTAAGAGTGAGACCCCATCTCTACTAAAAATAAAAAAATTAGCTGGGCGTGGTGGCACACACGTGTAGTCCCAGCTACTCGGGAGGCTGAGGCAGGAGGATTGCTTGAGCCCAAGAGTTTGAGGTTGCTGTGAGGTAGGCTGACACCACGGCACTCTAGCCCAGGTGACAGAATGAGACTCCATCTCAAAAGAAAAAAAAGATTTCTGCCTGGGAACCCAGCTGGAAACATTTCTGAACCATGCGGGCAGGGCTGGGGAACAAGGGCCTACGGTGGGTTTCCCGTGTCACCCGGGTTGGGTGAGGTGAGCCACCAGGCCTTTGTGAGTCCTCACAACTAGTGAGTCTTTGGTTCTGAGTCTCTAAGATTCCTCAATCCTCAGCTTATAATTAATTCCAAGAGTCTCAAATTCCGAGTTTCAGGTGCCGTGACTGGAAGAGGCCGGGCAGGCCTTGGGGCACCCCTGCTTCCTTGCGGGAGCAGAGCCCGGCTGCTCACGCCGGAGACCAGGGCGCTGACTCACCGCAGAGGGGCCATGGGCGAGACTGGGGCGGGGACCCCCAGCCTTGGGGCCGGCACCATGCCCGGGGCCTCAGGCTCCCAGCTATGGTGTGAGGGCTAAAGGTCCCCTGCGTGGGGCCGTCCTGGTCCTGGTGACGGTGGTGGAGGGAAATGCACGCCCACATGACTGCTCTTCCAGACCACAGAGCCAGGCCTGGCAGCGGCCCATCCCTGCACCCACACCACCCTCTGCCATAGCACCGGGCTGCTGTGTCGCCTCAGGCAACTCACTGCACCTCTCTGAACCTTGCATTCCTCCTCAGTGAACAGGTTCTCCTAGCCAGTCCCTCTCTTCCCAGAATAACTGTGAAAAGTAATTGAGACCACGTTTCTACGGCGACCAGGCAGTAATGACGAACAAACCCAGAGAGGGCGCCCATGTGCTGGCTTTGAGAAGCTTGGGCCCTTTACTCACCTTAACCCATTTGACCTTCACAAGAGCCCCACAAGGGGGGCACCACCATTAGCCCCAACTCACAGGTGATGAAACAGGCTCCAAGGTCGCCCAGGGTCACATAGCCGCGTGGGGCGGAGGGGCTGGGTCCTCTGTCTCAACCCGGTACCCCACCCTAGGCCCCTCCAGGAGTGGCTGGAGGGCAAGCTGGGGGGGAGTGTGGGAGAGTGGGGACTCCTGAGAACCAGCGTGCAGGCTGGGGAGGGGCTTTGGATGCTGCGAGGGGCTGCGCAGGGGGACAGAAATCGTGGCGGCGGCTGCTCTGCAGGGCTGAGGCCGGGCTGGGCCGGGGCTTGTGAAGCAGGGCTCATCTCACAAGCAAAGCCACAAGTTCAGCCTCTGAAGCAGGGATCAGCGCTGGTCTCCCGGGAGGAAGCCGCCGGGCCTGGGCCCTCAGGTGGGGTGGGGACATGGCGCAAGCCCGCTGGCCCAAGCTCAGCCCCTCCTTGCCCACTGTGTAGAGCTGTGGAGGACCAGGGGGCGCCACGGGGACCGGGCCTGGGGCTGCATCAGTGCCAACAGAGCCCCATCAGTCATGGGTTTAATAATCCCAGCGGGCAGGCTGGAAGGGCGTCACAGAACCAGGCTGTTCCCTCTGCAAAGTCTGAGGCTGGGAGGGGGCCAGGGGCTGCCAGATGACACACAGCAACTCGGTGACAGAGGCCAAACTAAACCCGGACACAGGCCCAGCCCCAGCCCCACCCACCCCGGGGCTACTGCTGTTCCATCTGCCTCCAGCCCCGCCACCCTGCAGGGGAGGGAGACTCGAGACGCACAGCTCAGCGTCTTCCCACTCCACCACCCCGGGCGACAAAGCCCAAACAGCACCTGCCGGTGGCCTCAGCATGGCTTGCTCCACTCCTCCTACAGGGTAGGTCTGGGGCTGTGGAGGAACAGGGGTGGTGGCTTCTGGCTGGGCATCAGGAGACGCGGCAAAACCCAATCCTGGTCTGGACCAGCCACCTGACTATTCTGGGCCTCGTCCCTGAAAGCTGGTGGGAGGAGGGGTGGGGAGTGTGGGAAAAAGCCCAGGGAGGGGGCTCAGGGCCAGGAGGGCAGGCACCAGGCAGGGTGGGGTGGCGGATTGGGGTGCTCACGGAGAGAGACTGCACACCACCAAGGCGAGGGCACACAGCTTTATTGGGGACCTGCAGCAGGCACAGCACAGGCACTCAGCCCCCCAGGGCAGATGGGGTGCGGCAGCATGGGGGGCAGGCAATCTGGACTAAGAGGGTCCCCAGAGCTGTGGGGAGAGGTCGAGCAAAGTGGCAGAAGGCAGGCCAGCGCCCACGGGCTGGCTCCTGCAGTCATCGACAGAGAACGAGGGCAGCCGCGGGACTCCAGGCACGTCCCGGAACAGGCCCCAGAGCTGTGAGCTGAGAGAGGACCAGAGCTGCCCCACAGCAACCTCCCGCCGACAGAACCTCCTTGCGCACCCCCGAGGTAGGGTCCTGCCCTCCCAGCAGCCCCAGCTCCAGCCCTTGGTGCCACTGTGCCCAGGGCTTGGGTTCCCCTGCTGGCTCTGCTCCGTGACAGCAAGTGTCACGTCACTGGCTGTCCAGGGACAAAACGGGGCTGGCCCCGAGACAGGGCGTTGGGGGCACCTGCTGAAGTGCCCTCGGCTGGTGCCAGGTGGCAGGCCAGGCTGCCCGCTAAGGGGGCCCTGGGCCCTCGCAGCGTGGAGGGGACGTGGCTCGGGGCCAGAACTGGGCCTGCTGGTGAATGAGCCACACTCGCCCTGTCTGGCTGGAGAGTGGGTGGCACCCGATGACCTCGCAGGCCTGTGTTCTGCCATCACCTGACTGCCACCTCCAGCCATGTCCGACCGTCAGCCACCATGACCACCCTCCAGGCCACCCTGCTGCAGCCCCCCAGCTCCACCAAAGAAGCCCAAGATGCCACCAGATGTTTCAGGACGAGACACTCGCCTGCCTTGACCTGAGAGCTCAAAGCAGCCTGGCTTCCCGGCGGGGACACCGAGGCCCCAGGGAATCCACTGTGTCCAACTCCTGGGCCCTGGACCCCTCTACCCAGCTTTCCCCAGACAGAGGGAAACCCCTTTACTAAACTGCTCCCTGCTTCATGACACGAACTCGGAGTCTCCTGCTCAGAAGGCCTTCCCACCAAGGTCATCAGGACCTAGCCCCTGCTAAGGGCCACCCCTGAACCAGCAGCAATTAGACACCAGATAATCTAAAAGCAGACTTGTTCGCAGGGCAGGTATAGACTTTTAGGCTACATCCAGGTGAATACAGCATGCTCTCCTTCAATGTATATGTATGTGCTCAGGCAGATCTGTGTGACCCTTCATGTTGCCACTCCACTCCGCCCCCGAAGTCATGCCCCGGAGAGCCAGAGCTGGGCCTGCACAGCCCCCCGGGAGCCAGCCACTCCCCACTGCCCCAATCCACCCCCTAGCAACCCTGCCCCGCGTCCTGAGGGCGGCCGAGGCGTTGCGGGACCACACTGGGCCGGTGCCAGGAGCAGCGCCTTCCCGGGGCCCCAGGCTGGTGTTGACCTCCAGACATGGGCCTCGGCAAAGGGCGCTGTGGCAGGGCGGGCAGCAAGTGGGGCTGTCTGCAGGCCCCAGCGAGGCTGCCCCTGTCGTCTCTGTCTCCCCATCTCTGGAGAAAGATGGATGGCTGGTTCTTCAGACCTCTCTTTCTCTGTGTCTGTCTCTTTGGTCTCTCTCAGTCTCTCTCCCTCACAATGACGCAGAAAAGGCAGCTGCCGACGGCCTCCCCATCTGCCACACCAGCCCCGACCAGGCCTTTAAAGTCTACAGCGGCAGCGGCGGCCAGTCCAGCTTCTAGACTATGGCGCCTGGCACTCTTCCTCCTGCGAGCCGGAGCGCGGGCACCAGGGAAAAGGAGAGAAGGAAGGGCGTGGGACTCGGGGCCTCGTGCCAAGCTGGGTGCAGGCTGAGCAGCTAGAAGAAGGTCCCGCAAAACACACCTGGGGACAGGAGGTGCAGGCAGGGGAGAGGGCAGGGGGGTGAGAGAAGGGGCGGCAGCGAGCAGCTGCCGTCAGAGCTGGTTGAAAACCACGGAGACCTTGAGGTTGGCGGGCTCCACGCCCTCGCCAAAGGTGATGAGGAAGTACATGACCTTGCGGACCTTGGCCAGATCCGACAGGCGCTCCCCGAACTCCAGGGCGTCAGCCTCGTTACAGTCCATGACATCCGAGTCCTCCTTGCGCCAGAAGATGGCCGCGGGGTCCAGCAGCTGGCGCGTCATGAGGTTGGTGAGGTCGGGCGTCCAGTTCTGCGAGGTGCCGGTGATGGTGACCTTGCCTGGCTTGTCCAGCACGACGTTCCAGCGCTCGAACTGCAGCTTCTGCTGCTGGACGAAGTCCAGGCGGTACACGGACTCGGCCGGCCGCAGCAGCTTCTCGCCGTCCTGGCGCTTCTCCCCGCGCTGCTTCAGGCTCTCCACGCGCAGCCGCATCTGCTTGGTCAGGTCCTCGTCCAGGACCAGCGGCATGTCCAGCTGTGGCTGCTGCGGCCTGTCCTCCGCCATGGCCCAAGTGCTGCTGCTGCTGCTGCTGCTGCTGCTCCCGCCAACGTCAAGGAGCCAAATGGGCTGGGGCCTCCCCGCCAAGAGAAGAGGCCACCAAAGGGGGCCCCGCCTACCTTCCGCCCTCCCCTGGCCTCCTCCCCTCTGCAGCCCTGTTCTCAAAACGGGGTGTGTGGGGGCGTGGGAGTCCCCACCCGCCTCCTCTGCACTCCTGCAGGAGCGAGAATGCAGGCTCTGCCGGCAGGCTCCGCGGGGACCAGATTGCTGATGTCAATTGCTGTGGCAACCACCCTGACTACCAGGGACGGCTGGGAGCTGGCTTGCTGCGAAGAAGGGAGCACTTCACACGGGCAGTGTCGGGGAGGGCGGAGGGGAGCACGTGCTCACTGCAGGGACACAGGCCAAAGGCCGCCAGGAGGGCGCGGGAGAGCACGGGCCGGAGAAGGCTCTCCCGATTTGAGATCCGAAGTCACCCGAGCCAACCATGGAGCCTCCCCTGCCTCCTCCACACCCAATCGCCAAGGCCTGTTGATTCTGCTCCCCAAATAGCCTGGAACCTTCTCCTGCGTTCCCACTGCCAGGACCTCAGCCCAGCCGCCATCATCTCTCACCTAGACCCCGGCTTCTCAGACTGAGTGAGCATCAGAATCAGCTGCAGGACTTAAAGCACAGATTGCTGGGCTGTCCCAGAGCTCTCGATTTGGCAGGTCTCTGAGAGCCCAGCATCTGCATTTCTAACAGCCTCCCAGGTGACACTCATGCTGTGGCCTGGGGCTGTGCTGAGAGTCACTGACCCAGATGAGTGTGGCCTGCTGGCCCTGCCGCAGCCCTAGCCACGGCAGCCATGTAACCAGGTCTCGCTTCTGTTAAAATCCCACCACTCATCCCCCCTGCACTGATCTTCAGTGTCCCCCAGGAGACCTGGGGCCAAGGAATAATCTGGCAAAATCTCCGTCCCCAGCACCTGAGGTGGAACCAGGAGCTCGGCTATCATAAATGGGCAAATGGCAGAACTGGAGTGTGTGAGTGTAATTGGGGGGGGGGCTGGGGGACAGGGGCCTCTGCCACAACATGCCACACTCAGAAAAGAGGACAGAGCCACAGGCCAAGGTGTAACAACTGAAAACAATCTGAAGGGTCAAGTGGACCACAAGCACAGTCAATTGCTAGATGGAGGATAAGTAAATCGGTGGGATCTTGGGCTACATGGACAGCAGGGGCGCCTAGGGAGACAGAGCACCTGGCCCTGTTCAAACAACACTTCAGGCCCTGGGGTCAGTTCTGGTGGCCACTGGCAGCAATTCCCCAAGAGTGTTAGAAAGAACCACACACTGCATGTTAAACTGCCTGACCCTCACAGAGCCTTTTACTTTGCAGCTGCAGGGGCAGAGGAGGGGGACCAACTCTGCTGAGGAGCTACGGTGGAGGCTTCCCTCTCCTCCATAAGGAGGAGCTGTTTCTACTCTTCCTACCGCTGCATTTTGCTTTCTATTTGTACGTGTGCTTAATTTTTGCCTGAGACAGCAGGCTCTGTGTCTTGTCCATTACTCTAAGCCAGCACCCAGCACAGGCCTTGCCACGCAGGGGGCCTCAGAGATGCTTGCCGGATGAATGAATGGGCAACTGGCAAGGAGACAGGTGATGTGAGGGACCATGGGGCCAAGGACAACAGAGGAAGGTGGACAGGTGGGGAGACAGTACATGGGCACTGGCTGGGGCCAAAATGAGGTTTAGAGATAGGTGTGTCAGGGCTGGGAGTGAGCAAGAGGACTCTGAGGTGAGGTCAGACAGGTGGAGCTGTTGCCTGAAGACAGGGAGGGCAGGTCTAGGTCCAGGCTGGGGCTGTGGCAGCAAGTGACCCAGGTGGCTGAAGATGAAGGCTGATGGAAATGAGACCAAGAACTAAGACCACGGTAACAGGGGGCCGGGGCAAGAGGGCAGACACACAGACACATGGACCAGTAAACCCCTGGGAGACAGCAGTACTTGGGGTAGAAAAGGCTGGGGAAGTGGAGGTGCCAGGCCCTCTGGGCCTGGGTGACCGGCTGGGGCTGCCGGATGGCAGGGGACAGCACTGCAGTGGGCTGGGGGGCCAAGTGGCTAGCAGGAGCCAGGCACCTGCATGAGGAGTCACGTCTGCAAGCGGCACTGGGCAAGAGGACCTCCTGTTACTGGACCCTTAAGGATGAGGACCAAGGACACAGAGCCCCTGGGGAGGGCTTGGTCTCACCCGGGCAGAGGGGCACCGACCTGCAGATCTGGGTGGCCTCAATCCTGTATGCACCAGCCCCAGGCAGCCTCAAGGGTGGGGTTAAAGGTGGCTTCCCAGAGGGGCATATGTGCTGAGGTGTGGTGGCCCTGAGTCTGAGGCTCAGTGTCCCCAACATGTGGGTGGGGAGGGTGGGACAGGGGTGCTAAGCAGCCCCCCAGTTGCCCTTCCATGGAGAAAACAGGGCGGGGCAGGGAGGCCCTGCAGGGCAACAGGCCCACAAGGCGAGGGGTGACAACAAACAGGGCCGCCAGCAGGGACAGAAGAGGAGGTAAGGTGCGGTAATGAGCCCCCCGGGGGCTATGGCCACAGCGGCATAGGAGGCAGAGTGCAATTAGCCGAGAACACGCAGCCTGCCGGGACCCAAGCTGCTGGAGACCAGCCAGGCCAGGCGCCCCCACGCCCTGCAGCAGGAACCTTTGGCCCAGAGATACACTCAGGCCTGCCCACAGTGGCACTGTGTCAGTGACAAGCCTCCTGCCTGCGAGTCCTGGGCCCCCTCCCACTGGCTGGCTGGGGAACGGCATAGACCTGCCTGGGGCCAGGCCCAAGCGGGACACACAGCCCACCTCCAAGTGATCGCCGGCCCATTCCCAGGAGAGGACCCAGTGTGGTCAGGCCCAGTCCCACCCAAGGCCCCGGGAGTCCCGGGGCGCCAAGGCCCACTGTGGAGCTGCTGGTCAGTGGCTGGGCCCCACAATCTGGGGAGGGGCTCACTGTATACCCAAACCTCTCCAGAGCCTTCTCCGTGCCAGGTCCCTGCTGGGCTCGGCAGGAAGATATAAGTTGGCCGGCTCTGCCCACAGGGAGCTCACCTCGAGAGGGGGGAGACGACAGATAAACAGGCAATTACAGGGCAGGGCAGGAAGTGGGGGGCCCGCCCTGCAGGACTCCCAGGTGCCCTCCAGCCCCAGACTGAGCCTGGACCTAGCTGGGGCTCTGAGGCAGGGCTCGGAGAATGGGGTCGCAGCCTGGAAGCTGGGGAGTGGGGACCGGCCCCACACTGGGAGGTCAGTGCCATGCCCTGACCCTCTCTGGGCCTTGAGGCCCATGAGCGACATGATCCCACACGTGGCTCTCTGAGGCTCAGACACCCCAGGAGTGCCCATGTCTACAGGCTGCCACAGCGACTTTTGCCGAGGCCCTAAGTGCCCTATGGCAGGACGACCCGAGGCCAGCCCCAGGGACGCCCACCCAGGGGTGCCTTTCCGAGGCCACACACCTGCTGAGGAGACATGAGCGCAGGGCACCTGCACAGCCCCAGCCTCAGCTGGGGGCACAGCTCCCTCTGATGGATGGGGACACCTCGGAGGACGAGGAAAACTCGCTCTGCTCCTGTGCCCTGCTGGCACAGGACACCCTCGTGTTCTACAGATGTCAGCGATCTCAATGCCGGCGCCACTCGCTCAATGCACGGCACCAGGTGCTTTAAGTACAGCGTCTCCTTTCACCCTCGCCGTTCCCCGAGGGACAGCTATTCCGATCCTCCTAATTCTGCAGACGAGTAACCCGAGGCCAGTTACAAAGCTACCAAGCAGTGCGGCTGGTGCTCAAACCCGAGCTGGGACTCTCCGATGCCTAGCGCTCCACGGGCAGCCCCTTCCCGGGGACAGCGGGAAGGGCAGGGCTGGGAAGGGGCAGCACCCGTGTCTCTCCCTGCCGTCCCTGCCGGTGATTCTTCAGACAGCCAGGTCTGGCTCTACTGCAGCCTCCGCCTCCCGCCTCCCCAGACAGGGAGCTCTGAGCATGGGATGTAAGGGCCGCACTGCCCGGTGCTGCCTCAGGAGGACGGACTGGCAGGGCCAGAGCCCATTCTTTCCGACTCAAGCCCTTCGGCCCCAGTCCGGAACGCCAGCAGCTTGCAACCAGGATTTACGAAGCTGGGCGTGGTCCAACCAGCCCTGCTGAACAGCTGGGCAAAGGGGGGCCCAGAGAAGGACAGCGACTGGCCCAAGTCACACAGCAGGTTACCGGCAGGGGTCTCCTGAGCCTCCTTAGTGGTGTCTCTGCATTGTAGGCAGCTTCCACATTTCACAGGGGTGTGTCCCACCAAGTGGCTCAGGGACATGGTGGGTCCCCAACAGTGGGGAGGGGACGTACTGGAATCCTCCCGGGGGCCGCACAGATTCCCAGCACCTGCCCCCGGGACCCCCAGCTGGTGGGGGAGGGAAGGCAACGCCGACGCTCCGCCAGTGCTGGGCCCCAGCGTCACCCCCACCCATCGCTGGCACTGGCTGTCAGAAAGCCTCCTCTGCGCGTTCAGGCTACACCTGTCTGGCAGCGAGGGCCGCGGGCTGCGTCAACACCCCCGCTCCCCCTACCCGCCCCGCCCCAGGCCTCACCTTTTGCCACAGCGAATCCCGGGAGGCGAGTGACGAACAAGCTGCCACAAACCAGCAGTTGCCCACCTGGCCCTGGTGCAGGTCGTGGGAGCTGATGCCGTCCACAAAGAGGCGGGGGTCCTCGCAGATGTCCTGCGGGGAAGGCGAGGGGAGACGTGAGGGCCGAGGGGCACAAGCATGCCTGTCACCGCAGACAGGAGACTGCATTGTCAGCCTAGAAATTCGTCTGCCTCCCCCGCACACCGGGGGCCCCACGTGGCCTGTCTGCTCCCCCAGGGCCTGCCTGGGATGCCCCCTCCCCTTGCCCGGCTGGAGGGCGCGCTTCTGCCACAGGTTTGCCCACGGACGAACACTGGGGAAGGACACCGGCACCACCTTCCTCTGCCTCTGCGCCCCGACCAGCAAGGGCTCAGTCCCCTTCACCCTCCCGCACCCATGGCCCGCAGTGCCCGCCCGGGCAGCCCTCAGGCCCAGTCACGAGGAAGTGGTGTGGGGGTGCAGGGATGTGACACGCCAAAGTCACACATGATGGGCACTAAGTGAGGGGAGGGCGGGAGAGGACGGGCCAGGCCGCGAGTGGCACTTCCTGAGTGCGGTCTCAGCAGACCCTCACGCCCTCGGAGGAGCGCGGGGCTGGCTGTCATTCCGACGTGTGGACGAGGAACCGAAGTTCAGAGACGGGCAGTGACTTGTCAAAGGCACACAGCAAGCAATGCCTGAGTGGGGCAGAAACTCCTTTTTGGTTTTCCCTGGAGACTGGCGGGTGCGGCCAGAGGGGCGGCTGCAGGGAACTGGGCCGGGGCGGCCCCGGGCAGGAAAGTGAGTCATGCCCAACTGGCAGCTGGTAGGCCCAGCCCTTCCTAATTTCCGGGAGCCCCTTGCTCTGTCCGCTGGGAGAGAGCCAGCCCGGGGTGGGGGGAGGCCCCAAGACCACTGCCCTCTGCACCCCACCCGCCGAGGCGCTCAGGCCTGGGCTTCCACCTCTTCGTGCTTTGGGGTTTTTCCTTGAAAGCACCACACCCCTTCCCGAGGCAGTGCTGCCAGTGGGGAAAACACGGCCTTTGGCTTCAGACTGGAGACTGAATTCCTGCTCCTCACTCTGCAGTTGGCCTGAGTCTCAGCTTTCTCATCCATAAAGTGGGAACAGTAATTCCTACTTGGTGAAGAATCAGCATATGCAAAGCGCCAAGCCCAGGGCCTGACCCAAAGAGAATGAAAGTCTGTTTAGATTGTCAGGTGCCGGGATGTGTGTCTGGGCCAGACCTATATGGGTGGCTCCAGCACCAAGAGACACGACTGGGAAGGGCTGGCTCACCCCGTGTTCCCGCAGCTGTTAACATCCCACCCTCGGGCTGAGCCTGGGTGGGTTAGATCTCTGCAGGGGCAGCGAAGAGTGCCTGGCACGGCCCCCAGCCCTGGCCAGGGGACCAGAGCCATGCAGATACCTCCAGAGTCCCCAAGTCCCTGCCTGTGCCTGATGTGGGCCCAACGGCCAGGCTGGTGGCTTCCCCTGCCCAGTCCAGGACTCAGCTTGTGGCACACACGTGCCACCGGCGTCCAGCAGGCCCCTCTCCTCTCCCATCAGCATCTTCACTCCACCAAGCTGAGAGGTGGGCAAGATGCCCATTTTACAGATGAGGAAACTGAGGCCCAGAGAAGCTGAGTGCCACGCCCCAGCCACACAGCACGAGCAGGAGGGCAGCAGCCCTCTGCCTGCCTCCGCTTCAGCAGGTGTTCCCGAGCTAGTTCATTCACAAGAGCTCAGAGGTCCCCGCGCGGGCGGCCAGCAGGGGGCGGCAGAGGCAGGAAGACGGAACCTGAATTCCTGCTTCCTGTCCACTGGCTGTGCAAACTTTGGACTTCTGTATCCCTCCCCTGTGCAAAGGAGATGAACAGTCATCCCTGCAGGGCTGTGTAGGGACCCCACAGGTGGCAAGGGAAATGGGACAAAGGGCTCTCAGTCCCCCTGAGGTGCCCAGAAAACGGGCCAGAACCCCTGAGGGCAGGAGTGGCCTCTTCCAGGTGGCATTGCAGGGTGCCTGCTCTCATCCTGTCCCCGGGCACCGTTAGGAGCCACAGCCGGGAAGAAGGGTCTTGCCCCCCATCTTATCTCCCAGCCCTGCCCACACCCAGCCCAGCCCTCCCACCAGACCGAGCTACTTTAGCTGCTGCCTCTCTGAGGCCCCGAGGGCAGGCAGGAAGTTGGGGGGGGGTTGGTATCTGGAAGACCCCAGCCACATCCTGCCATGGGAAGAAAGACAGCCACTGCCTGGTGTCACCAGGGTCTGCAGGGGAAGGTGACTCCAAGGTGTCCCTCCACTTCAAATCCTCCCAGCCAGTGCCCTGTGACAGAGACGTGACTGCCCCATTCCGCAGAGGAGGAGGCTGAGCCCAGGAGGGCAGTGACATCCAAGGTCACTAGGCAAACAAGTGAATGGGACAGAACCCAGGTCTGCCGGGCTCCCGCCCAGGGCTCCTCCCCCCTGAGCAGCAGGCGGGGCAGACCCGTGGGGCAGATCCAGCCATCCCAGCCTGGCCCCGACGCCCCAGGACAGGTCCCTAGCCCGGACACTGCTCCGGCCCTTGGGAGGAACGAGCCCAGGGATTCCTGGATTCCACTCCCCTGGCGTGCTGTGGCAAAGTGGGGACCTGGGGGTGGCCGGGCAGCCTGGGAGGGAGCAGGTGGAGGAGGAGGTGGCCAGGTGTGTCCCCACTGCCAGAACCCCTCAGGGTTACCAGCTCTAACCTAGAGAAACCGCCTGAGGTTGGTGGCACCTGGGGTCTGCCCTGGAATTCAGAGGCCACCTTGGGGCACCTCTAAAGGAACAACCTCAGAAACAGCTCACAATGACTGGGCACCTGCTGTGTCATAGGCACTGAGCAAAACAGCCCTGGGAGACAGGTACTGTTAGTGGCCCCTTTTTACAGATGAGGAAAGCAATGCACAGAGAGGTTAAGTCAGTTGCTCAGGGCCACACAGGAAGAGGTGAACTGAAATTCAAACTAAGGCTGTCTGGCTCCAGAGCCTCCAGGTAGGCTAGGTTTTATGGGTGACAAAGCCACTCTTCCTTTACCTGTTTCCCTGCGCCTGTCCTAAGCCTAGCAATGGGACCAAGGAGTCAGGGGAGCCCAGGCCCTGACCCCTGGCACCAAGAAGCCAGGCTTCTCAAAACCAGTGTTTGCCCTTCTGCTATTGGCTGGACATGGGCCACAGACTGGGTTAGGGAAGGTCCCTGCCCATAGGCAGGACCCTTGAGAAGGAACCAGACTTTGACACCCTTCATGTGAGCAGAACTGTGACAGCAGGGGGGCCAGAGAGAGGTCAGAGGAGGATGCCTGCAGGCGGTGGTGGCTAGTACAGCAGGCATGGAGAGGGCTTGGGCAGGAGGCTCAGGGCGGGGATAGGGACTCCAAACACCCTAAGACAGGGTCTAGCCACAGCCACGAGACACAGCTGCTTCTGACATGGCCCTCCTCTGAGCGCCCAGCCTCCTATGCACCCTTCCATCCCCATCCACACTAAGTTTGCCTTTGGGTCTCCCCCACCAGCCTGCGAGCTCCAAGGCAGTGTCCACGCCCGGCTCTGCCCACATCCATGGTTAGCAAAGCTTGGCAGCTTCCACTGGAGCCGCAGACAGTTCCCCGGGAGGAGGGAAGACAAAGGGACAGGCAGAATTTTACTGAGTGGGGGCCACGCCTGAGGGCTGGAGTTGACCACTTCCTGGTCCACATGCCTCCAGGGCATGGCCTTCTGCACCTGCAGTCACCTCTGGCCTCCTCAGCCCTCCCACGGGTGAGACCAGCTCCACCAGAGGAGCCACAGCCCAACCCTCCCTTCCCGGCACAACAGGAAATTCAGGTTTCCAGTCCTGGTGCACAAACAGGAAGGCAGGAGGGCAGCAGGTGGGAGCACAGCCTGGGCTGCACCTGCACAGGCTCCTTCCACCCTGCACCCCCCTTCCTTTCTATCCACCATCACCCAGTCACCTCCCTCTTGGAATTGAAGATCACGGAAGGAATTGACTAGGCAACTGGGGAAACTGAGGCCCAGAAGGAAGCAGGGCTTCAGCCTGGGACAGGCAAGGACAGTGTTCTCAGGAGTTAGAGCCTGCGGGCCCGCCCCTGCCACAGACTGGCCTTCCAGCCCTGCCCCCATCTCCTCCCAGGGCAGTCCCCACCCTTCCAGGCCACCGCCTCTGGAAGCCTTCCCTGACCCCACTGAACTCAGTCTCTGAGCACATGCCCGGGAGGGGGCCATTCCTGGGCAGGGCAGAGGCCCAGACGGCTGGGTGTGCCCCCGCTGCTAGCCCCCACCGCACACTGCCTGCTTTGCCGCATGGAAAGGCCTAACGCTGAGCAGCTGAGCAGCGGGGGGGTGGGGGGCACTGGGACCCGCCAGGCTGCCTTGGGAGAAATCTGGGAGGTTCCAGAATTGACGTGTGTTCATAGGACCCCTACTTGTCCCCCACTTGTCCCCTCCGCATTCCACCAGAGGGCCTCCAGGCTGATGTCTAAGGACAGGCGAGGCAGAGTGCTGGATGGGCGGACACTATGCCCTCACGGGGTGAAGGATCCCTGGGCCCAAGCAAAGAGGAAGGTCTTATCTCCCTGACCAGGCCCCCGTGGGAGGCGGCAGAAGCTTACTGTACTGGCAAGAACGAAAAACAATGAGCCCGTGGGGGCAGGGGCGTCAGGCCAAGGCAGGTGCCCTGGGTGGGGACTGAAGAGAACAAGGCCGAGTGCCACCTGCAGAGTCCACAGGAGATGAGACGTCCCACGCAGGGCAGCTCTGGGTCCCCAACATGGGGTTGGCAAGGAGAAGGTGGGCAAGAGAAACCATGATCAGCAAGAATTACGCTCCCCTGGGAGGCCAAGGCAGGAGGGTTGCTTGAGGCCAGGAGTTTGAGACCAGCCTGGGCAACACAGTGAAACCCCATCTCTATAAAAAATAAAAATATTAGCCAGGCATTG